CCTGCATTCAAAATTTTACTTCAGTAAAAATACTAAAGTATTAGCAAGTACATTACAGAATTTCATTTCAAACCGTAACAAATTTCAGGCCGTATTGCTACTTCAACTTGAATTAAAGATCTGAATATTTCTTCCAGCACTGATTACCGACTGATAACCTTTAATCATTTAGTGAAATTACATTACCTCGTGGGAATCACTGGAAATTGTTGGAATCAAAACCAATGCCGAAGTAATGTCTTGAAATTGCTTACTTTGTCTGACCAGCAGCCCAAAAAAATCCTTTATATTTATACAAATCAGAGAAATGCTGGGACAGCAAATGGTAACTGAAACTTTTCATTTCATTTCTTTTAATCTCGTATTGATTTCTTTCAATAGAGTAAGTGATAAATCAAGTGAATACATCAGAACTATAAATATAACTACAAGTGAAGAAAGTTCCTATAGTCCTGTGTGTCCCTGTGCCGGGGTCTACAGAGAACATACCACAAATATCACATCCAATGTCTCAGCAGGCTTTACAGGATATATTATATTATAACAATATATTAACAGTTTGAGTTTCCTAGCTCAAGCTTTCTAAGAAAACAAGAAAAAACTCTTTAAAAAGACACTTAGCTCATTAGAGAAACAATGGTGGAAACCTTGGGAGAAGCAATTCAAAGAAAGATACCCCTTCAGTGGTTGGAAAAATACAATTAGCCTTCTAAAAATAGGCCAACTGAAATGAACAAATATTTCTTACAGTTAATAGAAATTCTAAAAAAAAGTATAATATGGCATAAATCCAATAAAATAAACACATCAACCAATACTGACACATGACAGACATTGCAATAATCATTCTCTATTGTCTATATATTGTGAATTCAGCACCTATAATTGTAACCTTCATACGGATATAATACAAATATTACAAGAAATCTATGAATCCTCATGTAACATAAGAACAAAGAGACATAAACACGGTCAGAGCTGTAATGTGGAGCCAAACCCAACTTCACACATTTTCTAATCCAGATTTCTAATGATCGTTTTTGCTGATGTATAGTGGTTAATGGTTCATTATGTGGCATTTGTGAACAATTTTCTGAAACCATGATAACATTTTGGTTGTTTTGGTGTTTCCAAATGCCCAAGTACTGCATGCCAACACTGTGACCTCCTCCACTATAACAGAAGCTGTGGAAACAACTCAAATCTGTTTATTTTCTGTAAGATTTTTAAATATCTTTTAATCCATATTCCGACTTACCCAAGTGATGATGTATTTCATCTATTACACCAAAAAACAAAAGTACAAGAGACTTGCACACAAGAAATTGCACAGATAAATTCATTTTTGCGGCACACAAGAAAAAGCCTTCAGGGACCGGGACGAGGCGGGGGGGTGGATGGGGGTTTAAGTCTCTCTAGATGGATGCTGTCATTTACTTTGTTGTCCCCTCCACAGAAACAGTGATGCTGAGAGGTTTAAAGAGAGAAATGTTTCAAATATGGATACGTTTGAGGGAAACAAACAGACCCCACTCTGCTAATACACAGAGAGGATGTTCTCTCGTCTGTTTAGGACGATAAGAGAGCAACTTTGAAGTTAACTGCAGCAAAATTTAAGTTACTGTTGAAATGAGTTACAGAAGCAGATTAACTGAGTGCTTACTTTGTTCAAACCAACACGTTGTAAAGGAAAGGCTCAATTAATTGTGTGACTGAGTCATAGACTGTTTACAAGACTATAAACATAATAAAACGCTATAGAGGGAACAGTTTCCTCTATCCTCACCATACCTTAAGTATTATGTCAATAATTATGTTTATTTTTTACGGTTTTGCTGTGATTTAACATGAACCACCTTCCAATATAATATTTTAAATTCATAAGTGGGAATAATAGGGTAAATAAACTGAATAACCTACATGCATTCATTCAGTCGTTAGACTTCTGCTGGGCCTTTTTTGAAAGGGTCAGTTCAACCAAATTACTTATATTTTCTTACTTAACTTCTCTGTAACCATGCAGTGGTCTGCCCTTTGGATTTCTTCTGCCACCCCAGTAAAATGAAGGTGAATGGGATTTTGTTTGTGGTGCCCAAAGCTCTGAGCAATGAGATTTAAAAAAAAAAAAAATAACAATCCTAATCCCTCGCAGTTAAAGTTATAATCCTTAAGGGTTTAATGAAAATGTTTGATACTATTCAAGGTCAACATTTTTGATAAATTAACCATTTAGTGTATTTACAATCTGTAATCAACTTTCTATATAGTAGTTTTCATTTTTAGTGGTGGAGTCCGTCATTCCTGCCCAGGATTAAAAACTGCCTATGCATACCTACTACTGCTACTATTCCTCTAAACAGATACATTAGTTGCTTTTATTTCTTGTGACGAAATAGCTGCTCAAGGATTGTTGGGATATAGTATTAAACCACCATTGCTGTTGCCATGGTTACCACAGGTGTCACCAAGTAATTCAGGACTGAAATCTTAAGGATTACAACTTTAAGTAACTGGGTTACTCAGACAAACCAGGTTAAACAGGTCATCTGAGAACACGTGAACATTCATTGTAGTAACCTGGTTACTGTATCTGGGTATGCACACAGCAGGTCAGTGATCTGATACACGTGGTTACACATGCACATGGTTATGAAATTGGTGTTGACCAGGAGAAATCTAAGTGAGGAAATCAGGATCTCCTATCTTGATTACAGAAAACAGGTTTCTCACTTATATGTTTACAATATCTGTTTATTGAAGAAAGCCAACAGTAAAAATGGTACTTACGTACATGTAAACAACCAATGAGATACACATATATCTCAAAACCTAGGCATAAAAGTAAAACAATTCGTCTTGCTGAATGAGGAATGTGTTATTGTGTAATGTGGGTAGCTTCTAGTCAAAGCAACTCACATTTGGGAAACATTTCACGGGGATCGGTGTCTCAAGAACACTTTGACATGTGGACAAGGAGACGACCAACCTCACAAATAATGGCCAACCAGCTCCAGCTGAGCTACAGCCTCTTTCAAGTGCAACACTAAAAAGAAAGAATATAAAAGACACATCTTTCAAACTCTAAAACATCAGACCCTGCTGGTGGTGAAAATGTAGTTACAGTCTTGCATCAGACATTCAATAAGTCATGCTCAAATAACTCTCAATCTATCAACATGATAAAAGATCCTGTACCGTAGCTTACAGTGATGCAACGATGCTTCCCCTCTAGCTCTAGTAGGCCAACATCTCACTTATTCCAAACCCGGCAATCACTGTCACAGTCAAAACAGCTCTTCATCTCCCCGTCCAAGTTACCAGCTCTAACATTTACAGTGTAATGCTCTCACTGCTCGAGTACCATGATTTTTGCTTTGAGGCAAACCAAACAACTACCTATTTTACTGTGGAAAATCGATGTAAGTAGCCCCACACCTCCCTCCACCTTTACTATTCAAAACATTTTACTGAGAAATGACACATGCCTGCCCTTTGGAAAGCTGGCCTGCCCTCTAAAACTTCCCCATCCATGGCTTCACCCATTTTGCTGGGTGGTGGACCCGGCCACCCACCTCCTCCATTATCACCTCATTAGCGGGCTGCAAACTGCCCCACCCCTCCATTTTGGCTCCAGCCTCAATCAGCCCATTAATCACAGAAGAGCAGGGAAACCTTCTGTCCTCTGAAGGGCTCACGATTGTATTCTGCTGGCCCCTGCTGTGTGTGTGTGTGTGTGTGTGTGTGTGTGTGTGTGTTGTGAGTGAGTATGGGCATGCTGCTGCATACAAATGATCCAGCTACATCCTGCCATCTGTTGACTGCTAAAAGTAACTGCCTCTACACTGACACACACAGGTTCATGATGCTTTCTGTCTGTCTGCTCTTCATCTGTATCCAAAAATATAATTATGTAACTCAAGGTTTATCTCAGTAAAAGAACAGATGGACCAAAGTATGCAACCATCGCAACAAGTTCTCATAATTAAACAACAAAATAGGTTGTCAGTGCTTTCCAAAACAAATTAAGGGTTTTTCTCATCTGCTACCCATATGGTTGAGGTATAATTCATATCAATGATCTACTACTACTCTGATCTACTATCTACTTTGTTAAGGTTGTGGATCATCTTCATGGTTCAAAACCCAATTTTTAATGTTGGTAGGAGAAAGAATGCACACCCTGTTCTCCAGCGTCTTCATCATGACCTGTTCGCTAACACCTTTCATAGCAATATAGCAATGTCACACTACTCTTTGCTTTTACTGAAAGTAAACATCAGTTCAACCTATGAGCTAAAAGATTCTGGCTGTAAGGGTGGAGTCAAGAGTAATCAGATTTCAGCCCCTGTAACTAGCTAAGCAAGATGGACTTGATGTAATTTACCTTCTGAGATGTTAATATTAATAAGAAACATGTGATCATCATTCAGAGACTGGCCCGCCTTGTTATTCTCCGCTGTTGAAGCATGACATACTGCTGGATATTGGATATCAATACCTGTCTCTTATACCCATAAACTCTTGCATTTTAAATGATTCTTGTAGCAGGCTGGCATTATGTTCTCATTCCTACTGTAACAACATTGTAGT